ACCCAACACTGAGCTATAATGGGTATATAAATTCAAGAATTCAAGCATTATATGGGAAATGGTCAGAAAAGAAACGCAATTCGAACCATTTTTAATAACGTCTGATCTTGGGCCGAAACACACCAAATTTCAACAAAGCGCCTAATATTTCGCGGCCTGTAGGTTCTGCAAAATAAGCTATTGAAAATCAAGAAGGTCTTAAATTAAATTTAATTTCCTTTCCCCAATATTTTTATACCCTACACCACTTATGATACAGGGTATATAAAGTTTGTTGGACGTTGACGAACGTAAAACTCAGAAGGGTTTAAGATAAGTTCATCGCTTGTTATACCAATCGATTCAAAATAATTTTTTGTAAAGATCTAAGCCTGTCTGTCCGCATATCCGTCTGTGTATGTATACTTGTGTTCAACCTACAGGTCGCAATTTTTCAGATATTTGAATGAAATTTGATACATTGACGCGTTTTGAACCAAGGATGAACCCTATTGAAAGTGGTTCGGATCGTTGCATTCTTTATCCAACGCCTTATTTTGAAAATTCGTTATATGAAAAAAAATTGCAATTCTCAAAAACTCGCTATGTAATAGTATTTTGTCAATCTAAGTTCGTATGAGAAACTTTGTTCGGCTGGGGCTGGGGCTGTAATTTATTTAATCGTTCCTACAAAAACGAAATTTTATTTTTTAAAACTGTCAAACTTTCAATACTTCATAATGGAAATTGCTTCATTAGAGAAAATTCATAATGAAATCAATCTTACCGAATTTGGATCACGTAGGTCTATTTTCTGAATTCTGTCGCATATAAGGATTCACAGGAACCGATGGTCCTTATATGCCAAAAAGGCCTAATTGTTAACGATTTGTGATGAAAAGTGCTAGCCTGCGTTGAAATCACTGCACTTTAGAAAAAGAATGTAATATGTTTTTGTATCCAGGATTTGGAGTCAAACGGGAAAATAACTATCGCATGAAATTTGACGGCAAAAGCTATCCAACTTGATCGGGGAAACTTAAAAATGTTACACAACACCATAAGAAATTTCTTCTCCTAAATTTTGAGGCTGCCCAAGTGCTGCAAACCGTGCTTAAAAGTATTTTCCAAACAAAGTGTAGTTTTATCGACACGAAAATTGTTCGCACGATTCGGAAAATTCCAATGCTTCCACCGATAAATTAGTTTTCGGAGCGAAGTCAAGCTTGGCCGGAAGCACTTTCCATTTTTCTACCCAATTGGAGTCTAATATCTTAGTATTTGGGTCTGGCAGGATGTATGCCATAGACATTGTATAAGTGGACAGAGGGACATACAAAGATGCTTAACTCGATTCACAATGTGTTGATATTGATCACGGATATATGCGCTTCGTATACTACGTACGATCTTGTTCCAAACGTTTTGATGAAATGCATGTTCCCCCCTCTTCCGGTGATAGAAACTATACTACTACTACGAACACTGTAATATTATATAAAGTAACTAATTCGTATTCTCGAACACTTGCCTTCGAAATACGGACGTTATTTTGTGATTATCAGTTCATTAGATCTAATCTACCAACATATTGGCAATGTTTTGGTGCAATGAGAGATTTCATTAAAACGTCCACTGATGTAACTTTGCTTGATCCGTTCGTTGATTTCGACCCTACATTGCCACATTTGCTTCTCTCGCGTAAGAACAAACGTCGTCGCGTTTCTAGATGTTTTATACGCGTATGGTACCAATGCTGTTTTTAAGTTTAATTTTTGTGCTCTTCTACTTATTTCTCGGTCAACTTTCTGCTTTGGGAATTTGTCAAGTAGAAAACACTGCAAGAATACATTCTTGTTTTCGTTCGATTTGTCGTCCAATCTGGGTTTTGCGTGACGCTCAAATATCTTACGATATTCTCAGTATGTTTTCTGTCTTTTTTTTGCATAATCGCTGTTAAATCAGTTAAAGGAATCAACTACGGGTGCATTGAAGGAGCGAGTTACATAATTACGCAATATTAAATTTTGTTACATATGCCTACTTCGGTTTTGTTGGTTCAGGTAACTGGCAATTCTAGCTAGCACGGATATGCGCTTCCAGGGCTCAGGGAGCCAGTTCTCCATATTCATCCCCTGCAGAGTGTTGAGTGCATACTCCTTCTGTGTCACATATACTTGCTGGACACTACCCATTCTTCAAACCATATCTCTAAGCACTTTTGTATATATCTATATATATATATAAAAGAGAAACTTTTTGCAAGAAGAAGAAACATAGTATTTTATATGTAAAAGCTTACTATAGCGTCCTTTAGAAACTATTAATAAAAACAGTAACGAACGTTACTAAATGCTACCACAAATGCTAACAATTCGCACTATTTCTTGGCCGTCTGTCAGTCAATTCGTAATCATCTTGCAACACCTCCTGCTCAATAAGCTAAAAATTAACCTAACTAACTATCTATAAATTTCCAATATAGCTTAGAAAAAAGAGTGTACCGAAAATCTTTCGTATCATATTTACTGAATTTTAATATTTATTAAAATAATTAATATTTTAATATTTATAAAACAATTAAGTAAGTAACAATTGATTATTTCAATCAATTAATAAAGGCAAAAAAACTAAATTACTTTAGATCCAGTAATAATTGAACAATTATTCAATTTAATCTTTTTCTTCTTTATAGTTGGACGGATTATGAAGACGACGAAGACCTTTTAAAGAAGATAGCTAAATAAGCGGCGGTAATCATGAAGTTCATGCTGAGGACATCATTTAACATCTATAATTCATATTTGCTGCATATCCATTTTAATGAGGTTTTAAACACTCCTTAGATATCATTATTTGTAGAAAATTTTTCTTTCTCATCACATTTCAAATATACGTTATTTATAGATTTGGACTGATCCAAAGGTGTTAGAAGACGCATGGAGAAATGCAGTTAATGTAAGTTTAGCTTTCCTAAAAAATATTATTTAGCTCATTGTGTAGCTGCTGATCTTCGTATGGGCGCTGGAATAGCTGCAAAATTTAAACTCATTTACGGTCAAGTTGACGCACTTCGTGCACAGAAGATTGGAACTGTTGGGATTGCGGTTCTCAACGACTATCAACGCTTTATTCGTTATTTAGTCACTAAAGATGAAAGTTGGCAAAAACCTACATATGATAATCTAAGATCCATCTTTGAAAGCAATGCAACAGCATATGGTAAAAAGATTTTTTAAGTTTTTTCAACTAAATACATAAAAATTTGTGGCTTCCATTACAGATTTCCAACAATGTTCAAAAATTAGCAAGACCGAGCATTGGTTGCGGTCTTGATGCTCTTGAATGGGATAAAGTCTGCGCTGAAACAAATGAGATTTTTTACAATGATAATGTTGACATTGTGGTTTATAATTTTGCACCAAAATAGTTGTGCATATTTGCAACATTAATACAAAATCGAACAAATTTGTTTACATTAGCAAAAGCATTTAACTATTTGTGTTTTTTAACTATTAATTTAGTTAATAATTGTATTTGTTGGACTTTTGTTTTAAAAACTTCCTGCAAAGGAATCTTACCGCAAGCTAATCCAAATCTATAATGATGATCCAAAATTTTGTTAACTCGATTGTATTTTTTGCAATTCAAACCTAAGTAAATTTTAAATAACTAGTGTAAAAAACTATTTAACTGACTTCCACTGTAATGCTGATGGTAAAAGAACTGATAAGAAAGGAAAATCGGCTATTGTATGATACCTTGCATAATTATTAGCGCCACTTATCTTCCAAGCTCTTTTATTTGTTACTGATATTATAGCGAATATCGTCGCTGTTGTGGCAGCCTCGATTAGCTTATGGTTAAAAACTCCATATATATTATCTGGCACCAATTCTATTTTATAATGTAAACCATTTAGTGGCAATAGATCTTAAACGGTTCGGTCACGATCGAATATAATTTTCCTGCTTGTTTTAATATACATGAATAATTAAAATAAGATCAGAAAAATTGTAAATATAGTAGAGGCATGATCTTCTGAAAAAGTTGTAGCGTCCGCGAACGAATTTAAGGTAGAGTGTCAGTCGGCCTGTTTTTGTCGTAAATGCAGTAATAACGGCATTCCGTTATGCAAAATCGCGTGATCGCAAGAATAGCGGCTTGCAGCTATGCAAGAAGAAGAGAGAGAGAGACGATGCGAGAATTTGTTTGAAGGTGGGTTTTTTGAGGTATTGATCGGTTGCGAGAAGTTGAGTTGGATTTGAGCCTTGATTGCATGCGGAAGTGTTGTGCTGGCTGTCAGTGAATCTAAAAGAAAAGAAAAAATGACTAATATTAATCGGCTGGTATGAGTGTGAAACATATTTATATACTGATAAAGTTAAAAATCCTGGGAATAAACCAGGCAAATATTGCTGAGTCAATCAAAATAGTATTTTCTTCAGTTCTTTCTTATCTCGTATTCTCGTACATGGCCAAATTTTTATACAAATACTTGAACAATTATTCAACAAATGAAAAAAAAAAATCCAGACGCTTATTCCCACATGCTTGGAATTATTGAGAATCATAGACGCTTACTTTCAGTTGGCGGCAAATTTTTATAGCTATTATAGCAACAATTCACAATTGAATTTGAAATTTTGTGAAAAAAATTACTGCATATTACATTTGTTTAAACTTTTTCATTAAAAATTGTTCTCACATTCGCTTTTTTCGTTTCGCATTTATAAACTTTAAATTTTGTTAGCACTTAAAATGATATTTTATTTAAAATTTTTATTTATTTCCTCTTATATTTGATACGTTTGCGTGAAATTTTTTACCAGAAATACCTGCAGCATAATTCTCTGAAACTTCTCTCAAAATTACCAGAAACCAGTGCGCTGGTCTCTCAAAATTACCAAAAATCAACTAGAATGTGTCTGAAAAAAAAAATACGTATGTTTTTTAAAGTAAAAGTAAAGTAAAGCAATAGTAAACAAAAACTAAGAAAAATTCTCCTCGCAACATTTTTATTTGTTATTGTGGCACTTATATCTAATGAAATTTTCTGCGAAGTTTAAAAAAAATACCCCATATAGTGGAGCCAGAAAGGATGTTATACAAAAGATAAAAAATAAGTGTGAGACTAGGTAGGTAGAATAAAATTAGAAGAACTATTGCAGGCGATAGAAGAAATTCAGGAGGTAGGAAACCGCGCGCAAGTATCGAGCTTTGTGCCATATATGTTAGGCCCCTATACTTTGGCGAATGCATCATTGATGCAAGAAAATCTGCGCCTAAAAGAAGAGATAGAAACGTTGAAGGATGAACTGCAATACAGTGGCGACGAGCGGATAGTAGCAGCAAGAAGAAAGCGTTTAAAAAAGTCGTGGAGAAGGTAACCAGTCCCGACAAAATAGTACAAATACTTTGACGAAGTGTATACAAACCAAATGACAGTCCACAATCAAGCGGAGGACAGACTTGTTGAGAATACAGCGGCAGTGGCGCTACGAAGATCGAGGAACATTAAACTGTTCTCATTTTAGGAGTGTGAAGTCTGTTGGTGGCGTTCAACATGCTACTAAGCAGCGCCTAAGTGGAATAGTTACCCAGATCATAAACGTTGTGCACCGCAGCTCCATAGTCGACTAGACAGGGACGGCGCTCAAAGCCAAGTTCGAAGAAGTCAGCAAGTACTTGGCGGAATGGTTCAAGGCAGAACTCAAAGCGATCGACACTCGCCTTATGATCGATAATTTTGTCAAGCTAGCGGAGAAGCTACTGGAAGCTTACCCTGACACAACTATAGCGCCTTACAAGGTAAGCCAAGATCTTTTGAAAAGGTGCTTTTACAACATTACAAACATCGCCCATAGAGTTGTGAAGTCATCAGTGCAAATTGCTGCAATAATTCAACTTCCAGGCCTCTAAGTGGCTTCAGAATCGACGAGGACTACTTCCTCATCAACATAATGGACTACGAAATTGGAGTCCAGATCGAAGAGGAGTTTGCATCATTTGATGGGGTAGCATTCAAGGATTTTAACATACGGTACCTAAACAATGCAGAAGAGGGCTACTTACGGCTGCTCACGGAATCGCGCGCTACATCCGTTAGCAGCTATCATGCCAAGCGTGTCTAAGGGACCTCCCGCAAGCGGAAGAAGACATTTCCGAAGCCGTGGGCGATCGAAAAGCTGCCAACGACAAAAAAGACAACTTTACTCTCACCAGCGTGAAGCCGGCCTTTTCAACACAATATGTGCACGGCGTATTCAAGGCAGCCTACAGAATTTTCTATACAAATATGATGGAAAAACTTCAGAGAGAAGTTCGACAAAAAATTACTGAATTCTAAATTACAACACACCATCAAGCAGCACACAACCAAGGGTATATATATACAAATATATTAATTATTTATTAACTTATTTTTATTCGTTTTTCTTCTTTTGACCTACAAAAGATGCACACCGCTCACCATAAGCCCAACAACAAGATCTGTATGTAAATATATATATAAACATTATAACATTTATTTCTATTTTATTTTAGAATACAAAAAAGCACTACCGCCCAAAACAACGCTCACGGAACAGCCCATAGCCACACTCATCAACGAGCAACATTATCACTTACAGGAAAATTCAGTAATCACTAAATTGTTACATTTTACAGATCATCATCAGCAAACACTCACCTAAAAACTTACTGCATACCGCATACCGCCAATATATTTATGTAATTGTTTATATTGTGTATTTATTATCATATTATATTTATATTATATATTTCTTATTACATTATATAAATAATGTTATATTATATTTATATATTTATAATATACATTTTATATACTCGTTATTAATGTATTCTTATTGTAAAAAAAAAAAAATGCGCGGGGCTTAATTTATTATATATATAATATGTATATATAATTTATTATTATATGTATTAAGTTAAGTTAAGTTAACAATGGTTCTAGATCTAGAGGGGATGCCAGACATTTAAAACAATAAGCAATCCGCCTATCAGGGTACCTCAAGATGGCGGGGAAAATCGCGAGAAAAATTTTATAGTAACAAAAAAACAGAGCTGTTAAGATATGTTCAAAGCAATGCCAAGGCATTAAGATTTTTAATTTTTTCATTTCAATTTGTACATAGTATGACTTATATTACAAAAAAAAAAGAGATAGTTAAAAGTAACCTCACTGACATCGCATAAAAAAATGTTGACAACGGTATATCCTTGCAAACGGCATTAATGATTTTTCAAAGCAATCGAACTCTTCACTACATTCTTTGCAAGTAATATCTAATTTAATATTTATTGTGTTAGTTCGGAATTCGCGTTTGTTTTCTAAACGACTTTGCACGTGTTGTTCAGGGCGAGACGCAGATGTTAAAATCTTTCCGCAAAAAGAACACTTCCAATCTTTCAATTTGTCATCTCGCCCCTGAGCTGTGTTTAACGATACGTAGGGAAACAATCATACATTTGACTGCATTCCGCACAGGATATTTAGTTCAACGTCACGTTTTCTGATTTCACAATTACTCTTGATCTTTCCTTGGGATTTCTTTCTTTGTTTTTTTTGTTTTTGCGCACCCGACCCCCTGGAGGACGTTTACTACAGTGAACGGGCCGGCAAGGAGAATGACAGACGGACGGACAAATATGACTAAAATGTTGCTGATCGATGATATATGTTATGTAGAGGGTGTTATTTCTAGCGTGTGCTCCATGATGTCATAGATATTTTGAAAGAAGAATGAAATTTCAACAGTCTATACTATTGGGTAGTCCTATTCGATTTTTTGAAGTGTTGAAGGGTCAGCTACGGAATATACGTGAAAAAAAAGACTCAATATTTTGTGTTTTTGGAAAATTATGTATTCTCACCGATTTTGACTGCGTCCGTTCCATTACGCGGATGAAGACAGGTGCATATATGTTTAGATAGATTCAGAATTTTTCAGATCGTAACAACCATTTTGAGGAGATGAATATACTCCTGATTAATCGTTGATAAGTGTGCAAAAACGAAAAAACCGTAACATATTTGTTTAAATTATACCGTTTTTGAACGCTTGAAATGCATTAATACGAATTTCAAAATTAAAGTAAGACTAACGGATTGGATGCGTTAAGCGAGGTTACATAAGGAGAAGTCAGCGGCAGCCTTTTTTAAAGCATTTATCAGATTTTAGTTACGTTTAAAAATGCAAATATATAATGGTGTTGAACAAATTTCATGTCATCACTAATTTGAAATTTCTGCTAACGTCGACTGATAACATTGTTGTAGTTGTCATTTTTGTCGCAAGCTATACTTTTTTGTCGTAAGCTATACTTTTTTGTCGTAAGCGATACTTTTTTGTCGTAAGCGATACTATTTTTGTCGTAAGCGATACTTTTTTGTAGTAAGCGATACTTTTTTGTCGTAAGCGATACTATTTTTGTCGTAAGCGATACTATTTTTGCCGTAAGATTTGTACACGTTCGTAATGCGACGATAAATAGCGCATTGTTGCCTTTGGGTATAAACATGTAAGTATTTCTGGTAATCGTACCGCAATAACAATTGAAACAACGTTTTATATCTGTACCTCTTATCTCAAGATGTACATAAAAAATTCCTTCATTTACAAATTTTAAGCATTCATCAGATAATATTAGAAAAACTTGTATTTTCTTTGCCAAAAGTTACGCGTGCTGATGATGATCACTGGATCGGGAATTATATCTAAGAGAATGGAGTGTATTTAAATTGAAAAACATTCATTCTTTTTCTTCTGTCAACAAAATTTAGATCGCCTTGTAAAACCCGGACCTTTGTGAGGTAATAAATTTATGACCATAGTATGAATATATGGAAAGAATTAACATCAAATTTTTCAAAATAGGGAAAAATCGAATGCCACGCCTATAAAAATTGTATAAAACTATTCAGGAGACGTACAAGGGGAGATGAATGCATATTTTTTATACATTTATATATACAAGATTATATATTATATTTCAAGC